CCACGCTAGTCAGCAAGTAACACCTAGCCATCTTCGCTCCGCCCTTGGCACCGTTCCACCATTGTCGTCGCAAGAGTCCTTGCCACCGGCTTCGTCAACCCCCTGCATCCACCAGTCGGAAGAGTCCCATCATTACAGTCAGGAAGCCTTGTGCGCTTCCATTTCGTCCTTCGTCGCCATAATTCCAGCCAGCGATAGCAGCCCGCCCGTGCACAAATTTAAGCTTCCATTTGGACCCAAGCAAATACATAAGTACCAAAGCACTTAAGCCGTAAGTAGGCATTGATTTTTCCCTAACCCTATTTGCGTAGACCAATACTCAGACTTAAAAGCCTGAAAAATTTATATCTACATACATAAGTGCAATATTTGTTGAAAATTTTCGTGCTTTCTAGAAATCAAACGGCAATTTCTTATACATATGCACATACATAATTAAAAGAATAGAGAAAAATTAGTATGCATACATATGTACATTAAATTTTCCCGCGCTAATTGCAAACGGTCCCATTTATATACTTCCGCATAGACATAATCGCATGTACATATATACTTGCTGTTTCTCTCTCGCCTCTCAGTTGCAAATACATATGCACACATATAATTACATTTATATATAATTATACCATATATGTAAATACTTGCTAAATATAATCCGAAACGCTACAAAACCGTTTTGAAGCAAAACAAATTAAAAGCATTAAAAAGCTTCTCATGTACAACATTCCACAAATATTGCATTTCCCCCATTGCCTATATATTATAAATACATACAAAGCGGGCACAGTGGTATCGAATACTTTTTACCGTGAAAAAAAAATATATATATATACATATAATTTTGATCTCTCGGTTTTCCCGGAATTTAAAGAAAGTTAATTAGGCCAAACCACTAAAAAAAAAAAAATTTTACTTCATTTTCTCGAATATTTTATTATTAATTATATTTAGTGATTACACCTATTTATATTACTCACTGCTTTAATTCACACATTTAAAGCTCTCTGAGACGATCGCCTTTGTGGAATTGTATCATTCTCTGTGGATTCGCCACACTTCACACATCATCTTCCATATTCTCGCCCTCAATCAAGCCCCCCCCCCCTCGAAAAACCAATTGCTTAAAATCCTTTTCTCTCCAATTTCCCTCAATCTCGATCACGTCAACTTACAACTTTTCGAATGTTAAGTGTACCAAATACTGACGAAAAGTCAAGAAGCCCCAAAATGAGTGACGAGGAAAAATCACAAGGTACTTCCACGGATCCTTAACGCTTAACGCGTGCAAGTGGAAAGTCATCCAAGAAAGCAAAGCAATCGTTTGCCGCAAGTAAGTTCATCTCTGAAACGGATAACTTTATGGACTACTGTACGCGGTTTAGGTCCACTCAAATACAAGACAACACGGAGTCGGCCTTAAAAATAAAAGACAGTAATATCGATAATTTTTGGAATCGAGTCCAAAATACATACGATGCGATCGTAGAGACTGAGGACCACGACCTGCCCGAAGACTTCAAGCCATCTGCTTATAATAAATACAGGTCCTGTCTCATAACTTATGAGGACACAAAAGCCCAAATCGGAGACCAGCTTCAACTCCTCAAAATGAGCAATACCTCACCTACTCTCACTGTAGCGCAACCCAAAGACGAAGGTGGCATTGATCTAAAAGTGCCACCCTGCGATACCGAAGTTTTTTATGGGGGTTATGAACAAATGTCTCAAATGAACCAATTCTTAACTACTCGGTACGAGGTGGTCGAACGGGTTGATCAGTGGCGTCCAGCCAAATCAAAACCCACCTCTCAAAATAATAATCACTTCTCTAGGCCACCTCCTTCTCATAACATACCTCATTTTAAACCAGCCCATTCACAAAACACCCATAATAAATCTCTGTCACAAATCCATTCTCATATGACAGAACAGCGAACAATGCACAAATGTCCAATGTGCAAAACTTCGACTCATTCGCTTTGGAGCTGCCTTAAGTTCAAAAAACTACCAATCGGGGATCGCAGACAATTTATTAAAGATCATAATATGTGTTTTAACTGTCTCTCCCAGTCACACACAATTAAAGAGTGCCCAAGCACTCAGACTTGCTTTCACTGTAAAGAACGGCATAATTCAGTACTACATGATAGCACAGGCCCCACGCCGAATAAAAAACAGCATAGAGTCCAAAGGACTACCTCACAAGTAGCAATGACCTCGTCCACAAAACAAACCCCGCATACTCCAGATCAGACAACAAGTGAAGAGGAGCTACCTTCGACCTCCCAAACAACAAGGGTACAATCATTTTACTCTGAAAATGAAAGCAAAGTCCTGCTGCCCACGGCGATAGTGCCATTAGAACACAGGGGCGAGATTTTCAAACTAAGAGCCCTCATTGATCAGGGGTCAGAAAGGAGCTTCATTTCCTCAAAAGCTCAACAGAAGCTAAGACTACCCTGCCAAACCGCTAATTTCGAAATCTCGGGAATGGGCGGAAGAGTGGTTCAAACCTCGAACAAATTATGCTCCCTAGTCTTAGCGTCAGCGGATTTGACCACAAAAATAAAAGCTCAGGCAATTGTGTTACCGCAACTAACCAAAATGCTACCCAAATTCCAGCCAACTCTGGAGCAACAACAAAAATGGGCTCATCTCAAGCTAGCCGATCCTAACTGCCACTCCCCATCTCAAATCGACCTAGTCATTGGCAGTGACCTTATCCCTCAAATAATTCTCGAAGGCATTGAAAAACTCTCGAAGAACTTGCTAGCTCAAAACACGATATTTGGCTGGATATTGAGTGGTCAAATCCCCGAAAAGGTGTCGAGCTTCTCAACTCAGATAGAACAAATCTGGAATGAGCGCCTAGATTCCCAACTCCGAAGATTCTGGGAACTGGAAGAAGTTCCAAAACCCAAAATAACCAGTCCCGAAGATGAAATTTGTGAAAATTTGTTCAAGTCTACAACCCCAAGAGCTCGCGATGGTCGTTATATGGTCCGGCTGCCTTTCAAACCAAGTTTTCCGGAACAAATCGCCTTAGGTCAGTCTCGCACCTCAGCTCACCAGCAATTTCTCAGCATGGAGAGAAGTCTTCTTAAAAAAACTGATCTTAAACCCCTTTACGACAACGTGTTGGAGGAATATGTAACCCTTAACCATATGGAAGTAACAACTCCATATGAAAGCGCTTTCGGAGACAAATT